AAAAAAAAAAAAAAAGACCTACGAGTCTGTCAAATGCCAGTTCCTATTTGCTCCAAGAGCAAGAAGTTTTGATGTTGAGGAGACTGTAATAGTTTATATATATATACTGGAGTACAATGGCAAAGTACAGTAACTGTGCCAACAATGGAACTAAATCTAGAAGACAAATTTTGACCAAAAAAAAGCAGTTTTTGTACTTTGCTTTTGCACAACAGTATACCATTATTTTCTTTTAAAACTAGTAGCATTTACCACTATATATATATATATAGCTGGTGTTATTTTCCGTTTTGCAAAGTTGCAAGCGAATTGTTCTTCTCAGTTTAAAACCTTTGGAGTCAGTAAAATTTTAGAAAGAAGGAAGACTGGAGTAATGGCTGCTGAAAATTCAGCTTTGCCATCACAGAAATCATTTAAAAAATCTAACAGACTCCAAACGCTTTAACGGTAGTGTATATCGATATCTTATTTACTATAGTGGAATGAAAACCAAGAAGCATTTATTCTCTGATGATTTGAATTATATAAATATACACGCTAGGGTTTGAGGTGAGAAGCTTTAAAATATTCTTAATAAGAGAATAATCCTTTCTTAATATTGGCTGCAATTTTGTAATATTGAGGATCCATTTATACAAATAATACAGAGTCATGAGTGTGACCCTGATTGAAGCTCTTCTTAATAGTGTCTTCCTCTCAGACACAACCTATTAGTTTTGTGTATTGGGGACTATGAGGTGTTTCCAACAACATGGTATTTAGCATATTTTTGTAATAAGTAACAGTAGTATTCTTGCATACTAAATATAATAGGGCTGGTTTATGTACATGACATTTAGGGCTTCATTTATGTTTTATTGTAAGACATCTGGAGTTGAATGATTCTACCCCCCCCCCCCCCCAAATATGTGTTAACATGAATATGGCTTTAAAAACAAAATAGACATATAGCATGTTAAGGGGAGTGGGTATGAATTACAAATTATAGATGTAATTTTTCTGCAAGAGACTTGATGGAACATGTTTATTTGTGGTTGTCTATCTAAACTTATTTTAATTATAAGTACTTGTATATGTGTACTCATATCAGTTAATTCTCATATTGTATAAGAGTTAGGGTAAATGGATGTTTGTGAGTTTGTATTGGACATTCTTATGCCAATTAAATTTCATTTTCATTTGTTTTTAATTAATATGGAATGTTTTATGGAGGATAAAGAGTATTAAGTTCCCGGATAAAAATGAGAATGTTATTTTTTTCTTGCTAATGCATGTTGTGTTAAAGTAAACGGCGTGTCGAATATTATTTAGTATCAGGTCACAAAATGTCAATGATTTGTGGAAACATAAGCTGTTCAAACTCTGGCAACGTCTGCAATTTATCTATGCGTATACAGAGATTTTTGTATTATTGGTATTGGGAGTTATTTTTGCATTACTCTGAGAAGAGGAGTTCTCATAAACTTAAATTATGAGTTTCCCATCAGTCATATCTTGCGCAGGTCTGTGCCAGAGGCATTATGGGGCAAGTTTGTACAGATGAGATACCAGTGTAATTATTTGGTTGCTCTGTTTTCATCTTGACCCTGTTCGAGAGAGAGAGAGGGCGAGAGAGAGTCTTGCTATGGTTGTAGACGTGCAGTTTGTTACAAAAAATAATAAAGCTGGTATATTCGACTACTGCTGTTTGTGTTGTATATGTATGCAAGTTTGTAATAGTAATTTAAATCTTAATTTGCTCACCTTTCATGTCGTTCTAAACCTGTATGATCTTTTTTCTTCTGTGGAACTTAAAGATTTATTTTACAGAATGTCCAGAGCTGCTTTTCATGACAATAAAGAGGGATTGTAGGGCTACCAGAATGACAAAAAAAAAAACATAATAGTTAATCGTATGACTTATGTGCTATGTTTCAAGTCTTCAGAAGATGCTTTAAGACTGGTATTTAAAACATTACACACTGTAAATCTTGACATCCGACCTCGCTCTACTTAGCAAGTTCATGAGAGAAGACTAATCCGGCTTCTCAAGTGACTCCTTGATCCGGACACAGCATGTTCCATGTTCCTCATACAAAGCTGTTGTGTGACTTGCATTATAATATATAAACCAGTGTTTGTCAACTCCAGTCCTGGGGACCCACTGCACATTTTGTAAGTCCTCCTTATTTAATGCACCTGATTCAGATCGGCTTGTTAGGAGGGAACTCCATGAACTGAACTGAGTGTGTCATATAAAAGAGACATACAAAGCAGTGAGTCCCCAGCACCGGAGTTGAGTACCACTGATATAGACCACATTAATTATGATTTTATGTGTCTTATGTTATGCTTTTGTGTCCTTTTTGATGCTTAAAAGCAGTGGTATTTTAGTATTATTTACATACTGTTGTAGTATCTATCTATCGATCTATCTTCATTTTTGTTTATTTTATGTGCTTTTGGTATTTTTATTAGTTTTTTGTTGTTATTCTATTTAGCTTTATTTTAAAATTTTAGTCATTTTAGTACTTCAGCTTTAACTAATTTCAGTTAAAATTTCAAAGTACCATTTCTAATATTTATATCAATATCTAATATTTTTATTTAGTTTAGTTTTATTTAATTTAACAAATGATTTTTGGTAACACTTTATAATAGGTTTAATTTCTTTGTTAGTTAATGCGTTAACTAACATTAGCAATAATCAGTACATTTGTTATGGTACGTTTTTTACATTTACATTTGTTCATACATGCTAGTTAATAAAAATACAACTGTTCATTGTTAGCTTAGATTCATTGAGTAATATTAACAGATACATCTTTGATTTTAATCATGCATTAATAAATATTGAAATTAACTGGAAAAGAGCAACCAGCACATTCTTCAAAATTTCTCCTTTGCGTTCCATAAAATTATACCAATTTGTAAAGACATGAGGGAGAGTAAATGATAACAAAATATTCATTTTAGGCTACACTTAAAAAAAAAAAAAAAAAAGGGTTCTAAAATGGGGTTTTGTAGTGATGCTGTAAAATAACCATTTTGGGTTCCCCAAAGAAAATAACTGTTTTGTGTTTGTGTGAACATTTTAATCATCTAAAGAATCTTTTTTTCCATTACATAGAAACTTTTGTGCAATGGAAAGATTCAATGAATGTTAAAGATTCCTCATGGAACTAGGTGTCAAGAAAGAACATTTCTTTTTAAGAGTGAAAACTATCCCTTGACAAATTCCACCGGTCATAGATAAGAATCACTTTTACTGTAGGCAATATCAGCCTTCTATTGAAAGACACGTGGGGTGTGTCTAAATGCATGTGTTTTACCAGCCCTGCCAAACACACATACACTTTGAAACAATGCCAGCGCTGTCAGGCTGAGCTTCTTATTTTCCTTCAAGCATGATCAGCTGGAAGATAAACAGACTGCTGTATGAAATGCCATTTGCCCTGAGGGCCACAAGTTAACGCCTCTCAGCTTCTCACGCACATCCTTCTCTGCTCTGCATTCCCCAGCTCTGTGTCTTCAGAAGTCACATCACACACTACCTATTACATAGCTGAATGAAATTCCAGCACTGGAAATAAAGACAGGTGTGATCCGCCAAAAGACTTGCACTTGCTAAAGGGATTCCAGAAAGAAAATGCTGATTTTAATCACACTATTGCTAGTGAATGGTGTGCTTGAAACTAAACGAAGAACGAGGCTAGGATTTGAGATATTAAAAAAACAATCCTTCATGCTCTGAAAATATTTAACACACACTCATGTATTTTGGGGGAAAAGACATATTATTCAAACATAATGTGAATATATTCCTCCACTAGCATGTTACGGCTTGTACAATACTTTTTTTTTCATTTTCAGTGTTAAAAAGCAAGACAAAAAAAATAAGAATGTTTGCAATTATGTGCAACGAGTGTACTGCTTGCTTTCTCTCATTTTTGTATGGTTATGCACCAGACAGACTATGGCTTAGCAATACGATTGCTTTAAACATGTAGGGGAGGATGGGTATCAAGACACCCCAATTATGAACTGATAAATAATGTATTTAATTATAGTTCATAGCGTACAGGATGACTTTGGGCCATCTTGTGATTCCCGGGGCCAGTAAACGTGTCTCAGCTATCATCATATATTTAATACATATTAATGATTTTTTTAAGCAATTAATGTAAAATATTGTTTTTATATATAAAATATTGCATTTTATCAATTTAGTTGAACTGAGTTATCAACTGAAAAATCACTAAATCAGAGTTTTAAAACAAGGATGGAATTTCACAATATTAAAAATGACTAGATTTAGATTGAATTCTGCTGAATTAAAGACTTCTCGTTTAGAGTCCTAGTTGATTCCTGATTAGCTTTTTTCAGGTCATTAGATTAGTGATTTATCACCCTGTAATATGGAGGGAAAAGACAGAAATGTATATGCGTTATATTTAAACACTGTATTTACTGTTTACTGTAGAAAAAATAGTGTAGAAATAATTTACACTTAAAAATTGCTAGTACATAGTAATAGCATTTTCTTGTAAAACATACTCGAAATAATCTTTTTTATGTACAACTCATTTATTCCTTTGATGCCATCGTGAGGCCACATCACACATTACAGCCAGCCACATTACTAACGTGCTACAAGTTTGACGGGGAAATCATAATTATAATATCCATCACTGATCAATAGCTTCTTAAAAGAGTAGCAATTCTGTTTTTGTCGATATTCTGCTAAAAGACGAAAGTCAGCTGTATATCGAAAATGTAAAAATTATAATAACTAAAAATGAAAAACTATAATAATAAATATATACATTAATAAAGCAATAACACTAAGAAGAAAAGCTTGACTGGTGAATTTATCAGGTTACATTCAAACATGTTATTATGCTTTCTTACAAAAGCTTTTCATATCAAATGGATGCTCAAATAGAAGCAATGTAAAAATAAATAAAAGATAAGTCTGTTTCACAGCTAAAATGTATTGCGTCTTGAAAAAACATATTTTCGATAGATTTCTAATAGTTATTGTGGAATTTCATCAATCTATATCAACTATTTGCCTTTAAATGCTTTTAATTAAATTTTTCATTTTCAGATTTTTATTTTATCATTTAATGTTCTTTTTCTCTGAACAATTATCAACATGTGTAATGTGTGTTTAAACAAGCACAATAAATATTAATCACAGTATTCATAAAATATTTAAGAATCATTTATTGACATTTCAATCAACCAAAAATAAAAATTACTGCACAATATAATTTGTATTTATTAATCAAGTGTTGGTAGATTCTGAAACACATTACAATCTGCAGAAATAAATGCATTCAGATTTGCTACACGTGTCTGTTTTCAGAGGCACCATATACTACTGTAGTAATGGGCACCTATTCAAATACGTTGAAATCATTCAAATTCTTCAGAATTTTAAAGTCCTGTAGCAAATGACAGTGATTGTTTTCCGCAAACCTGCATAAAAACAATCTCATACTGATTACATACACTGATTATAAATGTTACAAAAAAATCACATATTTTAAAGCATTGTTAATGAGAACAAAATGAATGGGCAAAATAAAAATTCTACATATTGTCATAATGCACAAAAGCATTCATTTCATATTTTGGGTCATGCAATAAATTGTATCCCAACATGCTTTTCAATGTATTAGACATGCATTCCATACCTGAGCTAAAAAAATCAGTCATTAATATGCTATAAAACTTCATGTATAATATATTTTAAAGCAATTTAATTATAACTGCAAAAGCTGTTTCTCCTGTATTCTAAACATAATTACAGGAGATATTTCACAAATAAAGGAGAAATATAAGGAAATACATGAAAATATAAACCAAAAAAAAGACAGACAACAAAACGGTGACATTTTACATTGCACTGAATTTGCATTATTACAATAGTAAGAATTTCGACCATGTCGCTACATTATTACAAATTCTCATTATGTTGAAGCATGATTTTTCATGATAAATAAAGAATGGAGCAAGCCTGTACAGAATATCTTTCAATAAACGTAGCACAGATTTCGTTCACAAAAAAAACAAACCAGTAGGGTTAAAGAAATGTAATGTCCCATGTGAAATTCAGTCAAATCTTGACGGGCAGCTTTTCATTATGTATATCACTGTAAATTGAAATACCAAGCTAGGTCATTAGAATGTATTCAAGGCTATCATCACAGTGCTTCAGATATTATGCTCTCAGTTTCATGAAACCATGCGGCTTTCACTTTGGAAAAACAACCATTTTAATACATGAGCTCTTGTTTTTTTTGTACTAACTATTTAGAGCATAAAAACATGCTGTCAGAGCCTGGTATAAGTGAAATGCTGGTAAGAGACGGTTTAGGCACTGGAATCCTCTTTTAAGCGCTGACTGCGAGCCTTGTAGACTTCAATCAGGAGATCTTTCACATACTGAATCTCTCTCTCTACAGATTCTGCTTTGTCCCGAAGTTCTCTGTTCTGCCCTTCCAAACCATGAAGCTCCTCCTCCAAACAGTCCAGCTCCACCCTCTTACGCTGACGGTACCTATTGTTTTTTAGGCAACATTTGTGGAATAAAATAACATGGTTCAGCTTTTCTGCTCGTTTGAAGCAAACACGCTTACTTTTTTATTAACTCATGCAATATTCTAACACATTCATTGGACTAACTGAGCACTTTGTCACCAAAAACACAGATTTAAAAGGAAAAAAAGTAGGTACAGTACCTGTGGGCAGCGGACTTGTTCTGATCCCTCTTCTTCTGCTTGCGTTCTCCGTGGTTTCTCTCCAAGGAACCTACTTTAACATCTGGTTTAAAAACACACTGACTTTCCCGTGACCTTTGTAGTGGTTTCTGGACAGGCAACTCCAAAGAGGACCCAACACTGTCTCCGGACAGACATTCAAAGCTTTGGTCCCCAAGGCAATCGTGGTGCAAGTAGTCATTATTCTGGATATCAACAGCCCCAGTTCTGATTGGCTGATCGATTTCATTCATGAAGCCGTGATATGGCTCTAAATTGGCAGTAATCTGATGAAAGTAGCACTCGGCTACTTCGGATTGTTTATACGGTGGACAGCTCTCGCTCTCGGTGCACTGCAAAATGGGCATCGCAATCCCGTCGTGGCTGACCATCTTCATCCCATGGCTCTGGCCCTCTCGCCTGTGGTGGGATTCCAGGGACCCACCGAGATCGTAACTTCTCATCATCTCCGCTCGGTAAAACACATCTTCCGTGAAGCAACTTTTTTCTTCTTCCTTCAACAGTATGGCACATTCTCGAACCTTCTTTGTGCTCGCGTGGCTCTTTCCGTAGGATTTGTCAACAGAGCACTGGTCAAAAGCCAACTCTGCGTAACCTGAATGAGTCCCTTTGAAAGTCCACATTTCCTTCTCAAACACCTCGACGTCTTTACATCCATTCGCTGATATTCTTTGGCTATTGCAGTGTGTCCGAATGTAGCTGTAGGGGCCAGGTCGAGACATTTTCGTTTTCGGTCGGCTCATGGAGCCCCCACAGAAGCCTCGCAGGTCGAGATCTCCAGTTGCCAGGGAAACCAGCCTGGGATTTGTTTCAGGTTGGTTTACATTGTACGAAGCGCAGGGCAACTGATAGTATGACTGTGTAGCCATAGCTTGTAAGCTTTTGTCACATTTTTGCCATTTCTCCAATTTCATAGGTGTCGATTCATACAGGTAATAATCCTCCAGTTGAGCCAGTTCTTCTTTAAGAAGAGTGGTCATAACCTCCAAGTCGGAGGGCATTTGGACATCATGCTCCAGAGGTGAAGGTGGGATAGAGGAACCAGGAGAGGATTCCGTGGAAGTTGAGTTTGGGTAAGCGTCAAAAGTTTTTGTCATCCAATCTGTAGAGAAAAACCATCCAATTAATTCAATAAAAGCATTATATGAACATACAGATGAAATATTTTCAACATGCATGGTTGCGCAAAAGTATCATTGGTCTATGAATATCTATATAATTTTCTATTGAACAATATATGCAAGTAGCATTAAAAAAAGAATAAAAAAAGATGAAACGATGTGGATCACCAAAATATTTGCTTTACTTACTGTACGCCATTAACACATATGCTGCAGTGCGGTTCCCACCAACAATCGGACAAAATAAAAGTGTCGTACTGCTTACCAATTTAGTCCTACGTCTGTGCAGACTCCTCCCTCCGCCTATGATTGGCCTTCGTTAGCCAGTAGGAAAGAGGGAGCTCTTAAGCCGGCTGTGCAAATGAGGGGAGTCTTCCTGGGAATAACCTATGCCGCCACAATTTGCTGTATTTCGGTTGAAATGGTGAATTGCGTACAATGCATGAGAATCGAAGAAATTCCTCATACAGGAAAGAGATGCGAAAAACTGAAACCTATATGAAAATTGAAAAAAAGTAAAATGCAATCGTTAATTCCCGCTTTCCAGGTGTCAACATTTTTTCCTTTTATAAAACCATTTCCTTTTATGGAATTGCACTTTTTTCCTACTAAAAACTCAGGTTCATAGACTATCATAAAAATTATTAATAACATAAATCAATTATTTTAAACAAAATTGACTGAATTGATAGGATAGAGTGCAATATGTTCTAATAATTTAAATAAAAAATAAATCTAAACATTTAAATCTGAATTTGACCTTTTGCTAGAGCTCAATTGTCATTCTGTTATATGATACCTCTAGTCAAGTTCAGTGCCAAATGTGAAACAGAGGTTAAAGTAAAGCCTTAAAATATTTACTACAAAATATTTTTACAGTTCAAAATTCAAAAGCAGGTTTATACTGTAATTAAATGTAATAAAAAAAATAGAGCATTACACTAAATTATTCAAAAAGAAGCTTGTTAACTACAGAAAATATGTAGAAACTCAGTTAAGCTATTTTAAGTGCAATTTCAAACAAAGCTATAACAAAACGTCATGATTAAACCCCATCTCTATACATTTCTGCAGGGGTTTCTTGTAGTTCAGAAACTCTGAAAACTAGTTAAACTGAGATACACACTGTTACAGGAAGTTGCAGCTCATATAAAAGTCTGAATGGAAGTTGACACTTACTCCATCGTGCTGAGGTGGTCCGGTCTGAAGTGCTTCTGTGAGCGCAGTAAATCGCAATGGAGGAGCTCACGTTTTCAATTTAGTAGAACATTGTCTCACTCTTCTTCATTTGACGTCGAGACTGATCGGTTACACGATAAAGCGTTCAAAAGTTTTGGAGAACAGAGTATCACGTCAAACCAAACAGTAACCGCATCACATGAGCTCGTATCCATCCGCCGCCGCGCCCCTCAGCGCAAAGTCCAAACTAACGGCTCGAGTTCAATCCGAACTTCAGCCTCGAGTCCAAATATCAGTCAGCAAAACTCTTTGATGTCCCGCTTGATCTCGATTAAAGTTCACTGCATTCGCGTTTTAGAAATGTATTTCCTTTTGAAATGTAATCGATAAGTAAATTCTAATGATTATTAAAGTGGGTCCAGATTGCCAAAACCAGACTGGGTGTATATCGAGGCACAAATCTAAGCACAGATACCCTTATAAAGCACTATTTAACCACATGCGACGAGGAAGGACACTATATTACACTATGGAGATGCAACTCTTGTTGCAGCCCTGTTGCATCAGACCTGCTGGAATGTTGCCCGAGTTGAAACTTTGTTGCCACATTTGTCCTGATCCGTTTATGCATTGGACATGTATAATGAGGTTTCATCTTTAAGACCATTGTTTGCAAAAGAGAGAAAAAAGTCAAGACATTTGCTGTAAAAACACTCATTAGCTTGTTCTGATTTGCACCACACGTCCACCTCTGTATAAGGGAGACCGGGGCTAGTTGTCACACTGAGAAGTTGTCACAAAGACTGTTTCTCAGGAACAACAGGGTTTCCAGTCAAAAGTCCAAGTACACAAATGTATGTGTTGCTCTAGCTGTGATTTTGTATGCTGGTTTCAAACATTCCGTTCAAAGATGTCTTACATTTTGTGTGTGGGGGTGAACTCTGCCCTCCAAACTAAAATTAGACTATCATCATATTTATTCTGTAGCTGCTGGATATCTAGCACACATTCAGACAGGTGTCATGTAGACATAGAATGAAGGGACATTTAACTGAAGGGCTGAACTGTGTTTTCTGGACAAGGATGTCAGTTTGGGGCAAGTTGTCACATTTATTTTAAATGCATTTTAAATGTACAGTCATGGCCAAAATTTTGGCAGTGACATAAATTTTGTGTTTTGCAAAGTTTGCCGCTTCAGTATTTGTAGATTCTTTTTCCACATGTTTCTATGGTATACTGAAAAACAATGATAAGCATATCATAAGTTTTAAAGGCTTTTATTGGCAAAAATATATATATAATGAGTCAATATTTACAGTGTTGACCCTTGTTCTTCATAACTTCTGCAATTCACTCAGGCATGCTGGATATTAGCTTCTGGGCCAAATCCTGATTGATGGTGATCCGTTCTTGCCTTATTAGTTCTCGGAATTGATCACAATTTGTGGGCTTCTGCTTGTTCTCTCGCCTTTTGAGGACTGACCACGGGTTCTCTATGGGATTGAGATCCGGGGAGTTGCCTGGCCACAGATCCAAAATTTCAGTGTAATGATCTTCGAGCCACTTTTTTATCACTCTTGCTTTGTGACATGGTGCTCCATCATGCTGGAAAATGCACGGATCATCACCAAATTGCTCATGGATCGTTGGAAGAAGTCACTCTAGCAGGAAGTTTTGATACCATTCTTTATCCATGGCAGTGTCTTTGGGCAGAATTATGAGAGAGCCCAATCCCTTGGTTGAAAAGCAACCCCACACATGGATGGTCTCAGGATGCTTCACTGTTGGCACAACACAGGACTCAT